CGGTACCGCCCCTAGTGTGAACACTCGCAGTATATAAACAACTTCGTCCTGCTTGAATTGGTTATATATATACTATACTGCGAGTGTTCACACTAGGGGCGGTACCGTAATTAACCAACTCTTTAAGTGTGAACGCAACAAACCAAGTAATTACGGTACCGCCCCTAGTGTGAACACTCGCAGTATATAAACAACCTCGTCCTGCTTGAACCGGTACCGTAATTAATCAACTCTTTAAGTGTGAACGCAACAAACCAAGTAATTACGGTACCGCCCCTAGTGTGAACACTCGCAGTATATAAACAACCTCGTCCTGCTTGAATTGGGGTACCGTAATTAATCAACTCTTTAAGTGTGAACGCAACAAACCAAGTAATTACGGTACCGCCCCTAGTGTGAACACTCGCAGTATATAAACAACCTCGTCCTGCTTGAATTGGTTATATATATATATATATGTATACACACAAAACAAGTAATCAAAATTCCAACAGAATTTGAGAATATCACAATTGTGTTTTTAAAATAATAATTTACTTTTTGTTCCAAACATTGAAATTATTATTTGAGAAATGTTATAAGTACATAATATTATACATAGTGATGTACATAACACTCACATAGAGTGGGACCTACCAAAAATAAAAAATTAAGTGGACTTCACTCTATGTGAGTGTTATGTACACCTCTATATACATTTATTATGTACTTGTATCATTTTTTTTTTTATTTTAATGGCATTGTTTTTTATTTTAATGGCGCAACAACACTGCTTTGACCCTTCAACCCAACTTCGTTTAGATAACGTGTGGATATTCATTTTTTTTTTTCATTTTGGATAATTTTATTTTTTACAAAACTGTGATTGAATAATTTTTCTTAAACAAAATTATTGTTATCCAATATTTTTTTCTTGCAGTATTACCAATACAATAAATAAGAATCAATAGTTGTGCATTTTTTAGTAAAATTCATTAACTTACAATTTTTTTATTACATCAACTTATCTAATATCCTTTGACAATCTCAGAATTATATCATTATTTGAACAAACTAATTTTTCATTCTCTAACTCACTTTTTCCAATCAAATACTTATTTTGAATTATTTATCCAATCTCACTTATTTTTCCACACAACTTTTTGCAAGCAAATTTTTCTTTTTTTTTTTTATTCAAATTAATCGATATCAAATATCAACAAATTTTTCACCGAGGTAGTAATTTATGTTTGAAGCCTAATAAAAAATGGTAATTCTTAAGTTGCAACTCATCCATTAGAAACTATTTTGTGGCGCAAATACTTAGGTGCACCCTGGCACACCTAGCAAGGTGTGCCAGAGCGGTAGTAGCACTGAATTTGTGTGGTCAAGCTTCCTAGAGAGACAAGAAATCACATGTTTTGGAACCAAAGAAAATAGGGCATTTGCTCTCTCTTTTCGTTTTTCTTCCCTTACACTTTAGCAATACTTTTTTCACCTATATGGCTATATAGACAGTTGTTATGCAGATTCACACACACTAGTCCCTTGTTTTTACATAAAACGAAT